AGAGAACAATTAGCTTCTTACATTTTGTGTTTAAACTTTGCAAGGCATTATCTTACCAGTTTTCTGATGAAAACTGCAGGATTTTAAAAAATGTACTTCATTTAACCTATTTACACCCCATGTAAAATTGTGAGCTTGAAAATACTTTTCCACTATCACATATATTACAGAATATTTAAACTGCTACAAGTATAGTAAAATATTTTCAAGGTATTTTGATTTCTAAAGATGCAGTATCCTTATAGTTACATTTTTGTACTAAAACCTGGTTTACTGCAAAAAATTGATTAGAATTTAAGCCTTTCCAAGGTACCAACGGGCATGACTTCATAAGCACACATTACACAGCGAGTGTTATGCTATAGTGGGACTGTGAAAATATAATGATCTTTACATTTATTTGTGCACCAGTTATAAGTCACAGGCAAAGGCATAATACAATCACACAAGTTCGTTTCTTAAGAAGGTAGTATTTTCTTTTAAAGTGTTTATTTCCAATTCTTCCTTTTCTATTTTTTTTTTCTTTAAATAAACTTGTTTATTAACTGCACATGACTAGAGGCACATGGAAGTGCTGGGATATATGCACGAGAGTATGGGTGAGCATAAGGGAGTAGGGAGGATTTACTGAACAATCTTAAGACTTGCCTGCTGTGGAAGATGCAGTTTCACACCCTGATTTTGCCAAATCAAAGTTCAAACTAAAAAAATGAGCGGGTGCAACTTACTCTGATTTTGAGATACCCACCTTCAATAAAGGAGAAAGAGATTTTTTTCCATTAAACAGCATTTATTATGAGAAGATAAATTTATAAATGGCAACTAGAATACATTTGCAATGTGCCTAATGGAAAGTGAGACTTATGATCACTGTTATTCCCATTATTAAAGGGGAGAAAGGTTGTCCAGCTATTTGTCTATGCTCTGCACTGTTTATCCCAAACATCAAGATCACTGATGTAATTTTCAATACTGTTAATTTTGTTATACATTACTCCAGCAAATAATAATATATACAAGTCAGTCTAAATCTATTTAATTAATTGTGTAAGCATGACATAGAATAAGGAATACTGCATCTTCATCCCCAAGTATAAACTGCTGTTGCAATGAGCCAATTTTACAGTGCTGAATAAAACAGGAGCTTAAAAAATAATGACAATTTAAAAAGTTGTGTATCAAAGCTGCTTCCTTATTATGTTTTCCTATAATGCTGGCTGCTGAGGTTTCCTGACTAATCCATCAAATCCTTCTGAAAACATATGAAATCTGACACTTTGTGGCAGTTTCTCTTGTAAGCTGTGACAGGCAGAGTAGATATTGCCCATCCTTTACTCGCACTTAAAAGCATAAATCTCTGTCCTTCTGAAAGAAGGGGACACTGTGTATTTGTCTCTCCCAGCTGCTCCATTAAGATGGACTTACTGTGCAGTGTCAAGATCAGATCTGGTAATTCTGCATTCTACATACAATGTAAGTCTTCACCACAGTTATGAAATGTCACAAACCTGCAGTGGGACACCAGGATTTTTGAGAAAACTACCCTGGAGTAATCGCCCTTGGTCTCTGCACAAGCAGTGAAGTTTGGCAGGTCTGAATCACAGCCACTGAGGGGAGGACACCCTGAGAATCTGGGGGACAAGAGCTGCACATCCGAACACCTCCCTCCCATGGGGTACCTTCTCTTAAAATACCTCTGAAGGGGAAAACAAAGGAGAAAACAACCCTCAGTTGGGGTCAAAGCCTGCAGGTGCTGGTATGAGTAAGAAATTGTCAAGAAGAACAGTGAAAACCAGTGGCGGCCTAATGCTGGTTGTGTAAGTTGCCTAGAGGTAACAACAGCATGAAAAGCCCTTACACATGTGCTGGAAAGGTTGAGGATATACTTCTTGCCTGTGAAATTAAAAAAAAATTAGCATACACACCTTTAACTTTTGGCTTCATTCTGCTACCACTGACATGCTCTGTGCCTGTGTCCCTTGACACTAGTGCTGCTTTAACCCTGTAGCACTTTGCAGTTCCTTGAATAAAACCAGACCCTCTTTCTGGTGCAATGTTTCCAACGCATAAAATAATGGGCAACTAGCTGAAAGACAAGGGATTCACACAGACCAGCCTGATCCTCCCCAGTGTCTGTGGTACATATGCTTCCTCTTGGGGCAAATCAGAGCTGAATGCTGAAATTTAAGGCCTCTCAGTTTCTCTCAGAGGGGTTTTTCTCTCGTCACTGACTACAGGGGAAGCCTAAAGAGCACACTGGTCTCTCCCAGTTGTACCCTTTGTGAATAATACCAGAGATGACCTCTCTCACTGCTCCCCTCATAAACTAACAGAATGGCCTTAAGAGTTTCTGGTCAAATAAGCTTCATTTTTTATTGGAGAAAAAAATCACAGAGTCTGAAAGGAATTCTCTATACCATTGTTTCTTCAACTGAATTACTGCTATTCAAGTAATTAGTCAGTAAAATGTTCTTTGGCAGGAAAATAATTTTATCAATTGACTTCCACCTAACCTGACTTCTTTCCCTATCCATTTAAGGGGATGATGTTGAAGTACATAACCTGGGCAAACCTCAGATGTAATCCATGAACCACCTCATGCACTACACTGACAACCATTTTTTTAAACCAAGAGCAGTGATGCTGCTGGTAAGGACCCAGTTCTGCTGCCCTGCAATGCCTGGTTACCGACCCAGAAGCCCTGACCTTGTCACCCTGTGCATGGACACTTAGCTCCTCTGTTTCATTCCTGATTTGGAGCCGGATACTAAAAGGTTGCCCAATTTGGTGGAATTTGATTGGCAACACTGTCATTGGGAACTGACAGAGGTGTTTTCCCAAAATGGCTGCAAATAATTTGTCTTGGGTTTCTCTGCTGACCATGTGGCAGAGGGGAGCCTGAGCTTTAACAGTATTGAAGTTCTTCTTTCAGAGGGCTGATACACTGTCTGCTACTGGGGAATTCTAAGAATGGATTTAAAGACAAGCAAACTCTGGGTCTTGTGAATGCTGTTATAAAGTATTACCCCAGCCATATCAAACCTCACTTAACTGTCTGTGCTTTCATTTTATGTATGGGTACTCTGTGCTGATTCTTCTTAAAGTTTACCTTAATTTCAGATTCCCCCCAATACCACTATGGTTACTTCAGGGATCAGAAATTCAGGAATCAGAAATTAATTCAGACTGGTCAAACATTTCAAAATGAACAAGTGGCATTACAAGTTTAATCTGTGCAGTTCCTGGAACCAAATAGTCATAATTAAATGCATTGCAAAAGACCTTTAGGTATACATCTTTCATCTCTAAGCTATAAAAATCTCAACACTTAAAAAAATCTTGCCAAGCCTTCTCTGTCAAATTTAGCTGAATAGGCAGATCCTTGTGAGGAAAGAAAACAGAAAAACACTATTCCATTTTCATGAACAACTGATGACTAAGAGTTTCTCTCTTTCCTATATAATTCAATTAATACAAATTGGTTCACAATTATAGGGCTGTATGGGAATGATTAAGAATTTCCTTTTATTTAATCTGAAAAGGGTTGGATTGAAAATCCCAGAAGAGGCAGCCACTGGTACCCATATAAAGGGCCATTTATATCATACTAGACAGCTGGCAAAATCTTGTTATTCCCTAACTCCCAGGGAGAAACTTAATGTTTTACAGAGCACCACTGCAGAAATGTTTCTCCTTCCCACTTACAGCTCATCTACTGACTCCTCAACAATCAGTTCCTTCCTTTATCTTTCTTGCTTTCCAGACACAAGTATTATGTTGAAGGAAATAAAAGTACTTGATTGTGGTACCTAGCAGGGCAGTGAAACCATCAGAAAGATTAACTTAAATGATCTTATGTGCTGTTTTGGCATACACTCCCTCCCCCTTCTGTTGATGTGGAGTAAATTATTGTCTTGAGAGACATTTTACTCATGATCTCTTTTTCTCTGCAAGAGATGCAGCCGTTTCTTCTCTGTTTTGTTTTGTCGGTACATTCAATTCTACTTCATGAATGGCGACACCACTAACCTTGGTACCAGCGAGTATAATGACTATTTCCTTGTGTTGAAATCATGATCGTGGGGAAGAAGATACCTGCGTAAAAGAAAACTGCATGTTGAGAACAGGATAGTAGTTTCTAGATGGGCTCCTTCTATATAAATGAGAAAACAGTTCTAAATAAGTCCATGGTAAAACAGATATTTACTATTGTACGTTCAGCAGAGATGCTGGCGCCTCTTGTTTATTTTACAGGCTTCAACAACAACAAAAAAAAAGAAAGGAAAAAAAAAAAAAAGATTAAATGGCTGGTGTCCTCTAGAGCATAGTGACAAAATGTGGTACAATATTAAAACGCCACCATCATTATTGCAAAAGTCTGCTCAAGTGACCCTTCAGCTCCAACAGTGGGACCTCTCCAGCAGAATCTTCTTGCCTACTCACACGCAGCTTGTCTGTAGAACAGCTCGGGCATAATGCTGACACTGGCCAGATGGTATTCAAAACAAGGGGAAAAGATGGGATAACAAAGGTCTAGCGGTCTTGCTCTCATCATCATCATCATCATCATCATCAATCAGTGCCATCATCATCGGTTCGTGGTATCTAATGCTCCAATCAGCAGTGATTTTTCAGGAACAAAATGTCCAACAGCTGAGAAAACATACAAGCTATAAACAATTTTTGTCAAAGGACGCAGCATGTAAAATAATGCCCATTCCTGTAGCATTTTGGCTGCTATTTCCCAGGTGATTGTGGTGACACTTTCAGGGGGTAGCCATGCTAAGGGGCAGGCAGGGTTAACTTCAGATGGCGAGGAGAAGAGTGGCACTTCTTTTCCTGCTGTTTTTTGTTTTTAAATTTCTGTTATTACATTTTGTTACGGACATCAGGGAAAGCCCTGCCTGTTAACACTGTCGAGGGGGATTCAGCCCTGCTGAATTCACTCCAGGTAGTTAAGAGACCCAGCTCTTAAGCTCGTCTGGAACAGGTAGCGTTCCTCAAACCAGCATGTGCCTGCGGCGGTGGAGCGCCAAGTGATCCGAGCGGGAGAAGCTGCGGTCACAGTCCGCACACTTGAATGGCTTCACTCCCGTGTGCTTGCGGTAATGCCGCGTCAGCTCGTCGGAGCGAGCGAACTTCCAGGTGCAGCCTTCCCAGGTACATTTGTAGGGTTTTTCACCTGGGAGAGACAAAAGAAAGAGGGGAGGGAAAACAGGCGGTGACTTTCCCCTCGTTGCTCGTCATCCCCGTGAGCCCCTCTGCACGCTTCCCGTGAGCACCCGCTGCCTACGGGCGGCTTTCGGCCGAGTTACACAACTACAAGGGGCTGAACCTGCTGAACGTAAGGAAAGGGACTTGAGATTTATCATTTCTGTGGCATTCACATGACTAAGAAAATCAACAGGATTAAGGCAACAATACAGGACCCACCTTGCAGGGGCGACGCAGGGATTAACATCAGGACAAAGGGCTGTGCAATTACTCTCATGATTACCATTCATGTGTGCTACCCTCATCTTGTCAGCCTGCACTTTCTCCCCAAATGGCCAGACTACCTCACATTTACCACAGGCTGACACAGATTTCCAACTACTTTAATGAAGGTTATGCAGGTTTCTAACTATTTTTGTAAAAAACACTGCAGGACATCTCTTAGCAAGCTGGCAAAAAAAGAACTATGTTTTCCCACTTAAACATAAAAATCCAATCTGCAGAATGTCCTCTTTATTTATTGCATTTACTTTCAGTAAAATTAATTTTCCATGTAAAAGGCTACCAGGAACGTTGAACAGTGTATGATCGTTAAATGTACTCTGCCTTGGGACTTGCACAACACTGTTGATAAATACTAGTTTACTTCAGTGAGATCAGACTTGGGCTAAGTGTAGATTTTTGGAAAATCCCACCCTCTTCTTTTCAGGTAAGCATGATGCATGCCCCATGTTCTCTGCCATATCATGTCAGAAGAGAAGATTAATACAGCAAAAATGAATTTTGTGCTGTCATAAAGCAAACTGTTATAAAACCTCTTCTTTGCCATATTTGTAGGCTATACTTACTTGTGATTTCTATTACCGGCCCGTAATGTCTATATGTTAAACGCTCTTGGCAGTTACCTTGATCCCATGGTCCAGCATGCACCAAAACTGAGGAAGGGAATCTGTGTGAGGTCCATATATATCTTCCTTTGGTATGTCAAAAAGGATTTTTCACCTCCCCTTCTGAAACTAGCTAGTCACAACCAGGACAACCAAAGAGCATCTCTGCAACAACTGTTTCCTCCACCAGGCACAATAGTTCTTCAGTTATTTATTATCTCATATGAATCAGGAGCAGCTTGCAAGAAACTATTCCAATTCCAAGCACCAGTGATGCAACACTTGTGTTGTCGTAGGCAGCGCCTCCCTCCGTGCGCGACTTTGGAGGTCAATAAATGCTTTGCTGAGAGCCCTCGGTTTCAAAAGAAAATTTCCAAGTAAGAATATCATCACAAAGTTCAAACAGCCCTGGAAAGTCCATCTGAAATGGCCGTGGGCACCTCCGTGAGGAAGCTGGATGCTGTACAGGCATGTCAGCAGGGTTGTCAGCAACATTTGAGATCCTTGGGTTGGTACCTTCTGTGCACCATCTGGGCTGTGCTGCAGTTTTGATGTCTGTTGGGGGTGGGAAACAGTTGCTGTGAGAACCCAGTGATCCAGGCTCTGAGGTGACCACAGCCCATAGCTGCACCAGCATTAACTTAGCTTAGATAATCTTATAGTCCTCAGCCAAGCACAAAGCACTAAATAGGGTACACTGCCCCTGGGCGGCCGCAGCGTTGGGCACCTGGACTCTGGCAGCTGCTGTGAGCTGGAGGAGCACGTGCCGCACGGCAGATGGAGGGTTGCACTCTCTTGCCAATGATGCAGTGCTACAAAATGTGCTCAGATTCACCACCGAGCTGTCTTACATACATATCCGTGCCACAAACAGTTGGTGCCGAGCACCGTACAAATATAGCAGTACCCCCAGCCAGCCTGGCAGGTCTGTCCTAACAGTCCCATCACACGGCATCAACAGCTCCCAAGTGGAGCGCTTGCCCCGGCCATCCTCAAAGTACTTTCAAACACTCCTTTTGTTTAAACTCTGGATATCGCCTCGGTTCGATTCTTCCATCACAGAGACTTCCAGAGCAAAGCGTGGGGATGTTTCTCAAACTTTAGATTCTTGCTTAAAAGTCTAAGTCTCTCCTACCATGAGATCCTTCCCCTGCAACAGCCTCTTTGATACACAAAATCCCAAATCTTCTTTGCCTTGGTAGAAGATGAATGGAAAAGCCAATGCAGGAAGGGATGGTTGGTGAAAAGAGAAACACCAGAAATAGTTTGTTTGTCCGTCAAAAGAGTAGCACTTTGGATAAGAAACAGAAGTCAGCTGATGAAAGGGTGTGAGTGTGGATCATTCGGCTGGAGTTCCCAGGTGTTGCTTTCAACCTCCCTCCTCAATGAGTCCTGCTTACCCAGCCCCTACAGAGCTATGTGAAAGAGACAGGACTAACCACATTCCTCTCAAGGTATTTACACCCCTGAAGGAAAATCACTCCTACAAGCTCAACCTAAGAAGACCTTGCATTATTTTCAATTGAATATCTGTGGATAGCATAAGAAGAGAAAAAATGGGCAAAGTGGCATTACTCTGAAGAAATGCACTCACAGGCACCTTAAAAAAGCCACTGTAAAGCAAACTGTGAAAGATAAGATTTTTCATTAAGATTAATCAAATTTTTACACAAATCTAATCAATACTACTACTTTTAAGAATAATATTATTCTGAGTCCAGTTTTTGGCACCACAGTATAAGTGTATGAAGGTGTTGGAACAGGTCCAGAGAAGGGCAGTGAGGCTGGTGAAAGGGCTGGGAAACATGCCCTATGAAGACTGGAACTGGGGTTGTTCAGTGTGGAGAAGAGGAGACTGAGCGAAGACCCCATAGCTCTCTACAACTACCTAAAAGGAGGCTGCAGTGAGGCGGGTGCTGGTCTCTTCTCCCAAATTCCCAATGATAGGATGAGAGGAAATGGCCTCAAGTTGCACCAGGGAAAGTTTCGATTGGATATCAGGAAGAATTTCTTCACTGAGGGAGCCGTTAGGCACTGGAACGGACTGTCCGGGGAGGTGGTGGAGTCATCATCCCTGGAGGTGTTCAAAAAAGGAGTAGATGTAGCACTTGAGGCTATGGTCTAGTGGTTAAGGAAATGTGGGAGGAAGGTTGGACTTAATGATCCTAGAGGTTCTTTCCAACCATAACAATTCTATGATTCTGTAACTACTTTTCTGTAAAAAATGTTCTTCATAGGCAAGACTATACTAACTCTCAACCTTTTTTTTTTTTGGTAATGTCCCAGATATGAAGACTGACCACTGAGTTTACAAAAATCAGATGATCCAAGAGTTCAGGGGATGGAGAAAGGACCATCAGGAGCAGAATTGCTAGAGGATGGGAAGCTGGTGTCAGGCATCACACACCAGCTTTGGCTTAGCAGCCACCAGAGCACGGGGGAGGAACTACTGTCATGCACCTGGACACTCCAATTCTCATCCAGCTCTTAGGGAGCAAAAGCAGGTGGTGTGAGTCTTACTCAGGGTAGTGGATGGCAACATGGGAATGAAAGAGAAGACAAAACAGTGGACAGTTTTTGGAAAATGGTAGGAAAGAGAGGTGCAGAAAGAGACTAAGAACCTGTAGTAATTAACACGAGGAGAAAGAGAAAGCTGGAAAAAGAAAAAACTCTTAGTTCAATCTTCTGAATATGTGAAGTTTTAGACTTAAAGCTAACCAATGAAAAGAAGTGCCTGAGGCTGTGAACACTTTCATGGGAGTTGACCCTCTGCTTTTGCACCTATCTTTATGAACTCCATTGTTTTGACCCAAGACCAGACAAAAAGATCCCAAAACACAGATGAACTGTATTCTGATGCCATTTTGCAGCCCTGTCTTGCAATACATCGATAATGAACAGTATGCCAATGAACAGCCATTTACATGGATCAAGTGAGTGGGACCCTGGAATACAAAAAAGTTTTTCTACACAGCTCCCTGTAGAAAAGGAGTATTTTCTATTGTTTGAGGAAGTTAATTATGAAGTTTTAGGATATGATTCAATGCCCTAAATGGAACTAGTCATTTTTCTAATCTTCTATTAACATCTCTTTCTAAAGAGGCCTCCAAAACACTGCATTTTGTAGTCAATGCCACAATCCAAATTAGTTTCATTGCTTCTACCATATTATTTTTCTTGCTCTACCATGACTCCCCTCACTTAAGCACTTAAGAACACAGTCACAATGGTTACTCATTGAATCTCCCTAAACTCAAGCAAATAATAAATTAGTAATGCTGAATAATGACCACCGTTCAGCCACTCCTTCCAAAATTTTCCGCCCACCCTCAGCCCAACATCTGGAAGATCATTCACCCAAGGAAACAAGTATCTCTCAAACTTTTACTTTACAGCCTGATGACATTCACATATTCCTTAAAAAAAGCCCTGTGTAGGTACCACCAGGAGACTGTGTCACATAACAGATGAAGGGACCAGGCAGAACTTCCCATGCGGTATGCTCCTTGGCAGTTATCCTCTGCCCATCAGCCACCTGGTATCACAGTATTTGATGCCAGATGCTTCAAAGACAGGCACCACAAAACCGCTATGTAAATAGTTATGGGTTATTCCACCAGTGGGGAAACTGCTCTGGAGCTCCAGAAAACAGCCTCCAGGCTTATGTTCCCTAGGCAAGAACTTTATTTGCTGCAACTTCAATGCCCCATGTACTCCCTGCACCCTTGCAGTTCCTTTCACTTGTGTATTAGTTAAGCTTCATTTAGTCATCAGTTTAGCAGGGTCTTGGCAATCCTATCACCAAGTAATGATGAGGTAACACTGTCTACTACCAGGACAGAAAACATCCCAGTGACCAAGTTCTAAATTGACTTCTTCTTCTGGCATGAACTCACTTATCTCTCTGATGTTATAGGCTAGTGCCATGTCCCTTCTTATTTGTGTCCTCTTCAGACACTCCATCTATCCAATTTTTCTGCACATGGAATCGTCACCATGATTCTGAGTTATGACATCACTTCTCTGCAGCCCCTTCCCTCAATGGTATTCAGCATTTTGAAACACTGGTAACATTTTTATT